GAGGAGCCCTTGAAGGCCTTGGGGCACTCAGGGCACTTGTAGGGCCGCTCACCTGTGTGGCTGCGCAGGTGATGCGCCAGGCGCGAGGACCAGCGGAAGGATTTGCCGCACTCCCGGCAGGTGAACGGGTGCTCGGGGGCACCTGCGGGGGGAGCCGTGCCCGCCATGGCCGCACCTGAGGGGGACATGGCTGCAGGTGAGAGGCTGCACCTGGGACAGGTGAGAGCCCAGACCTGGGACACGTGAGAGCTCAGATCTGGGACAAGTGAGGGCCCAAATCTGACCAGGGGAGAGCTCAGACCTGACACAGGTGAGACCCCAGACCCAAAACATGGGGCTAGGTGAGACCCTTGATCCAGCACACAGGGACAGGTGGGACCCCAAACCCAATACGGGGGGGACAGGTGAGACCCCAGACCCACCCCAGGTGTGCAGGTGAGACCCCAAATCCGACCTTGGGGGCGTGGCCAAACCGGAGGCGTGTCTTGGGCGCTCTAGGCCCCGCCCCCTCTTCCAGGCCCCGCCCATTTCCCCTCAGCCCCTGCAGGCCCCGCCTCCTCCAGGCCCGCCCCACGCAGGCCCCGCCGCTTCCTCCCCCTCTTCTTCCTCTTCCTCGCCCGCTCCTCGCTCACCTGCCGAGCTCGCGGACGCTCCGCTGGGGCCGGAACCGGGACAGAACCGGGAAAGAACCGGGGCAGAACCGGGACAGAACCGGGCCCGGCGCTGCCGCCGCCGCCGCGCAATGCCCGGGCCGCGCCGCCTGACGAGGCCACGCCCCCTCCGCCTCACGAGGCCGCGCCCCCTCCGCCTTCCCGCCTCAGCCTCCGCCAATCAGATCACGCCCCCTCAGGCCAGGCCACGCCCCCTCACCGGAACCGCGCGCGGTGCGTTCTGGGTAATGGAGTCCCGCGCCCGTTTCTGAGCTCTCGGCCTTTACTGGTTTTAATGGTTTTACTGGTTTTAATGGTTTTTACTGGTTTTATTGGTTTTTACTGGTTTTTATTGTTTTTTGGGGGGTACTTCAAGGTAATTTGGAGGGGGTTTGGGGGTGTCCCAGGTTCCTACAGCTCAGGTGAGCTCGGGGGGCTCCTGTGGCAGCAGGGGCTCACCTGGGAAATGGGGGGGG